TGGCCCCCCTGGCTGGCCCCCTCACTCCCGACCTTAAAGAGCGCCACACCACCGAACTTCGGAGATCGGCCCCCTCCTGGGCGAATATCTCGGTCACCCCCCTGGTCAAATACCTTGGGATGTTCCTCGGGCCCGCGGCCCCCCCGCCCACATCTTGGGAAGCCCCCCTCCAGAAATACGCCTCGAGAGCCAGGAGGATCAGCCGTGCAGGAGCCCCGATTTCTTCTTCGGCCGCCCTTTATTCTTCTCGCGCAGTCAGCGCGCTGTCTTACGCCGGGCAGTTCCAGCCGCTGCCGCCCGAGTTGAGGAAGCGGGAATACAGTATCCTCGCGTCTGTCTTCCGCCTGCCGTTCTGCTGCTTCAGCCAAAACGCGCGGGGCAACCTTGCAAGACGGGGTGGGCCCAAGATCCCTAGAGCCTGGATTCTCAACATGTCCCAGATGATACGCTCCAGCCAGTTTACCTTTGTTGGTTGGTCCCAGATCCTCCAGGAGCTCCCCCGCGTCTGTGCTGAGGAGTTTTCACTCGTGAGGTCTATCCAAGGGCGCCATTGGCTTGAATTCTGGGAGACCCCAGCCCTGGCTGCGAACCTGGCCGACGCGTTCGACGGCTTCCCCTCCCTCCCTCGGCTTCTTCCGCACGCTCGTCATGCTATTCAACCCGTCGAAGGTTTTCAACACTTTCATCCCCGTGTTCTTCCTCAAGCCCTTCACCCTCAACGCATCCTTTATCGTGAACTTCAGCATCATATTTAACCTGATAAACTTCATCAGCTATGCCAGAAACGACTTCTCAATTGGTTCCCTACTCATTCCGTCGCGATCCAAGGTTTTTTCTGGACCGCCCTCTCGCCCCTGCTCCTCTCTCCCCATGGCCTGGAGCTTCTCTGTCCTGAAAACACTGAGTGGGGGATGGATCACGTCGACTAGGTTTCAAGAAGACAACCCGTGTATTTTCGGTTGCCGCGCTCCCCACAGATTCGCCCATGTGTGGTGTTGCCCGTTCTTCCGTCGCCAGCTCTCTCTGTGTGTCCAGCTGCCCCTCCCAGAGCGCCCAATTCAGAGACTCGGGATCATCCAGCCCCCCCGCGCCTCGATTTTGATTTGCGCGCACGCCAGCTATCTCCACAGTGCCATTCGGTCCCTCCCGAATCCCCCCCTCAACGAGCAGGCCTGCGCACAGGTGCTCTCGACTGTCAGGCACCAGGTGCTGCGGCCCGCCACTGTCGCCACTGTCGCCACCGCCACTGTCGCGGCCTTAGCGCGACCTCTCGGACGCTGCCTCTGGGCACGCTCGAGGAGGAGAAGGAGGAGGAGGAGGAGGAGGAGGAGGAGGGGGAGGAGGAGGAGGAGGGGGACCAGTGCAAATCCAAGACCCATCAGGGATATTGCAATTAGCCCTCCCTCCAAGTTCCCTCCTCATGAGCCCCCCAAAGGGGTCATCTTGAATGAGGGAAATGCCCCAGTGGAAGGCAACTGCTTGAAAATCTGCGACCGTGCCAGAACACCGCCCATGGGACTTCAACGCTGCGAATCATCGCCACCGTTGCGTCTTGACGATCCTGAATCGCGCCAGGGCGCCATTCCTGTGACTTCAACAACGCGAATCAACGTGACGGTTGCGCCCTGGTTCTCTGGCGTCGTGTCTAAACAACGCTTCTGTTAGTTAACCCTGAGAAACCTTGAAATTGATGTTGCAAATTATTACGACACCTTTCCGCGGTGCTCATGCGAGAGCCACACTTTTAAAAGGTACAGCGCTCCATTCGTGAAACTCATGCAATGTTTCCCAGACATCCTTTGGTTGGGTTCTCGGTTTGAACAGAGCAGTGGGGTCGCCAATTCCCTTTTCCTTTTCCTTCTCCTCCTCCCCCCCGCTCTCCTCTCGGCTTTGTCCCCCTCTCGCCTGCCTGCTGAGGGGGGCCGGCAAAGTGGGGTCCCACGCAGACGCAAACGGGACCTGGCCATCCCTGGATAGTTGCGAAGGGTGGAACTGTCACCACTTTCGAGGGCTGCTAGGGGGGGCCAGCACATTGACTTAAACGGGACCTCGCCATCTCTGGGGGGGGCGTTCGCCACGCTTGAGGATTTCTTGGGGGAGCCATCACAGTGGGGTCCCACGCAGACCCAAGCGGGACCTCGCCGTCCCTGCGGGGCTGCGAAGTGCGAATTTGCAGCAATGTTTGAGGGCTGCTGGGGGAGCCAGCACAGCGGGGTCCCACGCAGACCCAAACGGGACCTCGCCACGCTTGGGAGCTGCGAAATCGCCGCTTTCGGGGGCTGCTGGGGGAGCCAACACATTGGGGTCCCACGCAGACCCAAACGGGACCTCGCCATCCTCGGGAGGCTGCGAAGTGGGAAAGTGCCGCAACGTTGGAGGGATGTTGGGGGGCAGCACAGTGGAGCCCCACGCAGACCCAAACCAGACCTCGTCATCCTTGTGGGGCTGCGAAATGTGAAACTCCAGCCATGTTTGAGGGCTGCCGGGGGGGGCAGCACAATGGGGTCACACGCAGACCCAAACGGTACCTCGCAATCTTTGGGGTGCTGCGAGGTGTGAAATTGTCACCATGTTCGGGGGCTGCTGGGGGGGCCACACCGTGGGGCCCCACGCACGCTCAAACGGGTCCTCGCCATCCCTCGGGGGGTGCGAAGTGTGACATTTTCGCCACGTTCCAGGGATGCTGGGGGATGGGGCCCCACGCAGACCCAATTGGGACCTCGCCATCCTTGGGGAGGGTTGCGAAGGGTGAAGCGGTCATCAGTTTCGAAGGCTACTGGGGGAGGTCAGCGCAACCCGAACGGGACCTCGCCATCCTTGGGGGGGCTGCGACATGTGAAACTGTCGCTACGTTCGAAGGCTGCTGGGGGAGCCAGCGCAGTGGGCCCCCACGCAGATCCAAACGGACCTCGCCATCCCCTGGGGGGCTGCGAAGTGTGAAATTGCCGCCACGTCCGATGGTTGTTGGGAAGGCCAGCGCAGTGGGGTCCCACGCAGACCCAACCGTGACCTCGCCATCCCTGGGTGGGCTGCGAAATGTGAGACGGTCGCCACGTTCGAGAGCTGCTGGGGGAGCCAGCACAGTGGGGCCCCACGCAGACCCAAATGGGACCTCGCCACCCATGTGGGGCTGCGAAGAGTGGAATTGCCGCCATGTTCGAGGTTTGTTGGCGCGCTTGCGCGCGTCTGGTGTTCGCACCAAGAGGTGCACGAAGGGAACGGAGAGGTTGGCGGGCGAGCTAGGCCTTGACCGCTTGTTACACTAGTAACAGGAGCTCTTAAGTTCCCAAAACGTCGCGGCAGCATTAAGCGCTGGCCGCGCAGGTGTTGAGCATGTCGGCATGGCAACACGCGGAACTGTTGTGTTTCATTGCGTCTTCGCCTATATAACCTTATCTTGCCCATGCTCCATCACCCCGCTTCTTCTGCCAAGGTGATTGTTTTTTCCACCCCGATGTATTCATTATTGCGTCTCCTTCCCAGTACAATTCCCCTTGGCCTGTTGCACCTCTGTTCTACGAGGCGCCCATGCACACTTCGCACGATACAGGTATCCGCCGCGCACCGTCTCTTGCAGTGCAGCTGTCACACTATTTATTGTTTCCGCCTTATATCATCCCTTGGCGCCGATGGGTTGGGTACGTCGCAAGGTAGTTCAACACGTATGTGCGCGGCGTTGCGGCGCGATCCACATGTTGAAAACCGCCCGCTCTCCATCCGCGAAGCCCTGGCGAACTTTCAGGACGAATCTGCGCGGCGTTACGGCGAAAACCACAAGTTGAAAGCGACCCGCTCTCCACCCGTGAAGCTGCTGCAAATTCTAAGTTTTAGGGTCATAGGTGGTGAGGAAGTCCCTGGCGAAACGCCCGGCCTGCCCTGTCGACAGGCCTCGGGGTGCGACAGGGACAAGCTATTCACAAGGAAGAGTGGTGGAGGAGGAGTAGGAGAGGAGAAGGAGGAGGAGGAGAAGGAGGAGGAGGAGAAGGAGGAGGAGGAGGAGGAGGAGGAGGAGGAGGAGAGGAGAGGAGGCGGACGAGGAGGAGGACCAGACGAAAGGGGTGAATGGGGAAGGGGAAAGGGGGCGTTCCGAAATCTTCTGGTGCATGCAGCTGTCTTCGGCCTGACTGCCAGGCGCATTCCTCGATACATTGGCGCCTCCAGCGCCAAGAGGCGCCAGAAAAAGTAGCTACGCGAACATCCGTTTGCTATCCACACTGTTCGTCCGACCCGCGACGAGGAAGAAGGAAACATGCCGAACACGCAATTGAGCAACGCGCGTTTGTTTCTGGCTGCGTGTGGTCGTGTCGCCAGCCTCCACCTGGCACGGGCTGACGGCCATCAACAGCCCCTCTTGCGCTACGCGTGTTTCTTAAGCCTTGTGTTAACTCTCAGGTCCTGGCCCTGGGTGGCCCGCGAAACCATGCACTCTACCCGAGGGTTCGCACAACCCATACTCTGATCCTGTGCAGCGTCCTCTTGTGGCTGTTTTGCGGGAGGTATGGTACTGTGAATGCCCAGGCCGTGAGCAAGGAATGCCCGCTCCAACCCTCGAAAGCAGGGCTTGAGGTGTTCAGTCGACTCTCTCGTTGAATGCCTCCCAACAGCGGCGTTGTCTTCCCCACCCAAGTGAATTGATGTCCCAGTGCCCTGGATTGACCAAGTATCGACAGCCGCCTGAATCGAATCCTACTCATCTCGTCATCATCATCATCATCATCATCAGCATCATCAGCAGCACCACCATCATTATCATCCCCGTCATCATCATCATCATCATCATCATCATCAGCTGTGAATCGGTCGAAGCACTCTAAGTCTTCAATCGTGGTCGAATCGAAGTCCGAAACCTGCCAACTTCTCCTCGAGCACCCTCGTCCACAATCGCTCTGCGTGCAGGGAGGGTGATGATAGCGTTTCTGGTCAGTCGAGAGGCCTCTCGAGCTCAAACGGCAACAATGCTTGCTCCTATCTGCCATGCCTGCTTTACACATGCTGCCACGCTGCTGGGGGGGGAGGGTGTTGCTCTAACAGATTAGTCAGAAACACCTCTGAAAACACATTGTACGGAGTGCAATTCACACTGGTAAGAAAGGGAATGAAAACTTGTAAAACTCTCACCTCAATTACGTGAAAAATAAAAGAACACCACAGCAGCTCGCAGATCATTATCGTCGGCTCGACCGCCCAAACTGGCGTCCGGACACCAACTCTGCCTTGCTCGAGAGAAACTGCGCCAAACAAAGTAGTCGCATGCCTCTGCTGAAATAGCTTCATTGAGAGAGTGGGGAAAGAAAGCACGAGACTGGAACAGGATGCAAATCAAGACTTGCCGGGGCACCGTCACTCATGGTGCGGCTTCTGCTGCACAATGTGCAGCTCACGGGTAACCTCCCAGCCTCGCCGAAATCCATTCGTCACGTGTTTGTACTGTCCGTATTGTCCGTCGGGTCGCCCAACACTCGTGTAGTTGACTGGTCCCTGGCAACCAATGTCCCACTTGACCGTACTCAACTTCACCTTCTTCTCCTTCGGGATCTGTGTCGGTACAAACTCCTTCTCACTGCCTGGCTCTGGAGATGTCGGGACCGGCCGCGCCGTTCCTGCAGCCTTGAGCACTGCGCAGCACACGAAGCCCAGCAGCACGATCGCCACCAGCATGCTGAAGAGCCCTTTCACGAACGTGCCGAGCGGTATGCTGATCACGATCCTCTGGCTCTCGGTCCACTTGAACTCCACCAGGGCCTGCTCCGCCTCGCTCTCGTAGATCTTCACCTCGCTGGCCGCCGCTGTCGTCATAGACGTCATGGTCGCCAGAGCCGTCATCGCGCTGGTCTTTGGCTTAGATATGGCGAACCTCTTGGCCTCTGCCTGGCGGTCCTTGGCGGTCTTCTTCTTGGCGGCCTGGAACTTCTCGTCGAACCTGAGGCTGATCGTTCCAGACCTGAGTCGGTCTGCCAACAACTGTCGCGCTGCCAGCTTGGTGAAGCCGTCTGCAAACTGGCGCTCCGAGCTGACCCAGTACCAGCCCGTTGCGCTCGCCGTCATGCGCTCCTCGAGCACCTGCACCTCGATGCCTGTCCGCTTGTCATCGAAATTGTGCACGTGGGGCTTCTGGGCGGCGTCGTAGAGAGCCTTCGCGTCCACCACGAGCGCACTCTTGCCCAGCACCGTCATGGTGCCATTCAGCCTCGGGTTCCGCGTGGGGTCGAGCATCAAGCTGTAGTGCACCTTCACGTACTCGAGCGCGTCCACGCCTCCGGCTGCAGCTTGGGCCTCGCTCGCCAGTGAGGATCTACTCACCCTCGGTAGCTTCCACGAGCGCCAGTCGACGATCACGTACTTGACGGTCTCGCCGCTGAGCACGCGCCTGTGAGTAGCCAGGATGAGGTAGCCTCCTTGCGAGCTCCCATCACGTCGAACTGCCCACGCTGCGTCCGTCATGCAAATGAACGTCACGTCGTCCGGGTCGTCACATATCTTGGGAAACACCTGGCCCACGTCGCTGTTGGCCTTGGCGAACCGCAGCGTCTTATTGGCCTCCACCAGGTCTTGCACGGTGGAGCCCTCGTTGATCGTACCTTGGCCCAGGCTGACACTGCACTGCAAGTGTGGCGCTGCCTGGTTGCTGGGCCACGCTAAGCTGCCCATCAATCCTCGTAGCTGTCGACGCTCGCCTTCAGTGATAGCCAACTTCAGGTCGCTCGCTCGGTTCTTGGTCACGGTGATCGGCTTGAGCGATTTGATGTAGGCTTCACAGCTCATCTGATAATCTCCTGTCGTCGTCTTTGAGAGCTGGTTCCCGCAGAAATCCATCGAGGCGTCACCTGCTACATTCAGCGTGCCCTTCTCGGTGTCCTCCCACGTCCTGAAGTTGAAAACCTTCTTGAGCTCCTTCACGCGCGCTGAGAAGCATGCCTTGCCGTCCTGGTTGCTGCCGCCACCAAGCATGTCGTCAACGTGTAGTCCGATCGCGCCGTCGAATACCTTCGAGTTGGTCGCGTCCAGGCGGTAGCTCAGGAACAGGCAAGGGTCCAGCGGGTGAACCACGAAACCACACGCAATCATGCGGTCTGTAGCTTCCTCCCACCAAAGCCTCGGCGCGTCGCTCAGGCCATACATACTCTTGAGCAGCTTCATCCGCGTACCCGGCTGGTAGCCGAGCATCCTGCACGCCTCCGCCGGTAGCAGCACGGATATCCCACGAGCGCTTGCCCTGAAGGAACGCGGTGCTGACATCCGCGGTGAACAGGATCCAGCCGTGAATGCGCGCGAACATCACGATGAAGGTTCTGCTCAGTCTAGTCATCGTCGGTGAGGATTTGGCCAGCTTCCCCGCAACAGCGTCTGGATCTCGAAACCCTTGGATAACTAGCCTTGCCTTGGCCCTGTAACTTCCGTCGGCGTTCTTCGACCACTTGAGCAGGAAACGTGCTCTCAGCACCTTGTTGGGGTCCTTCACCTCGTTCTTGTCCTGCTCCCAGACCTGGTTGTCAAAGAAGCTCTGCAGCTCCACACGCTTCGCCTCCGCGAACTTGGCCTTGTCCTCCGCGTTCATGTTCTTCTCGCTCAGTTCACCGGCCACGTAGCACTCCTCGTAGTCCAGGTAGAATGCTTGCTCCTGCTCGCTGTAACTCCAGCCCTTGGGCAGCGCGTCCACATCCAGGAACATCACGTCCTCGGAGAACTCCACCTTGTCGTAGGGTCCCGACCGGTGGTCTTGTCGGTCGCGCTGAGCTGAGAACGTCCGCATCGGTGCCATCTCTGCGGCGTCCAGGTTCCTCCGCATCTCCCTGAACCTGGCTGCCGAGTCGGTCACTGTCGTCATCGGTGTGGGGGTGATGAGTCTCGAAGCACTACTGTCACCGTCAGCTTCTTGACCTTCTGACTCTGCCTGTGCCGGTGCTGCCGCTGGCTGCTGATGTAAATCGGGGTCTTCATCTTGATCAGGTATCGGCGTGTCGTGCGCCGTCGGTGGTGGGTCCTCACTGCTCGCCGGCCTCGGCTCGGCCTGCGGCTCGGAACCCTGGGCAGAAACCTGCCTGAGCTGACCTGCCATGGCATGCTCCACCGTCGGTGCGCTTCCCGCAGTAGGCAACAGCTCGTCCTCCTCCATCGGCTCGTCCGCTCGGTCCTCCTCAGTGGGCCCGGGCAACTGGCTGATATCGAAGAACTGCACGATACCTCCGCGTCGTAGTCCCTGTAGTGTGTCCTGTGCTGCCTGTAGGTTTGCTGGTCGCTTAGGCTCGCCGATCCGCTCCACGATGGGTCGGATCTGGTCCGGGCTGCACCTCAGTAAGCTCCCGCCGTGCGTGACCCAGTAGACCTTGGGCTGGCCGTTCTCCGCATCCTCTCGTAGAGCCACGGTAGCCGGCCCTCTCCAGCGTGACTTCTGAAGCCGACTCGCTCCACGGTCGCGCCAGTAGTAGCACTCGTCGCCCACGCTCACCGCCTCGTGGGTGTCACGCCTCTTGCGCAGGAAGGCCCTGCGCAAACGCTCCGTCGAGTCCGCCTTGATGAAAGCCGTCGCCGCTGCCGTCCGCCTCTGCATCGCCTCTTGGAACGTCTCCTCCTCCAGGTAGGCTTCCGACGCTGGCACGGACAGCGTGTCCGCGGACTGGGAGTCGTTGAGCTCAGGGTTGTAGCCCAAAACCCACTGCGCTGGACTGAAGCCCTTGTGATGCATCATCCTGTTGATCTGATTGGGTACGTAGTCCAGCGCCGACTTCAGGTTCTCGATGGTGCGTTCTAGGCCAGTCTCCTCGAACCAAAGCTCCAGCGTCTCACGCGTCACCTGATGAGCTCGCTCAACTGGTCCCAGGACGTGGTGAGCCTCGCCAGGGGCAATCCGCATCCTGATGTTCTGGTTGCTGGCCCAGTCGAGCATCTCCTGACTGCACGCCGCGCCGCACTCGTCCATCACGAGCCTCATCGGAGTCCCGTAGTGCTTGATCCACGCCTTCTCGATGGACTTGATGGCCTCGGCCGAGGTCTCTCGCGCCACGATGCGGCACTTCTGGAAACGACTAGCTCCGTCCAGCATGTGCGCGATCTTCGCCGAGCCCGAGCGCAGCTTGAACTCGAAAAAGTCCAAGTAGACTGCCTGGTTGAACGTCTTCCAGGATGGTGGTGCTGACTTCGGTGGTTGGGAGGCCTTCTTCCGCTCTGCGCAGATCGCGCACAGGTACCTCCTCGCACACGCTATGCCTTCCTCTCTCGCCTCCGCTGCCGTCAGCATCCGCACGAAAACCTCCGTGCTGGGGTGGCCCAGGTTCTTGTGGAGGCGCTCCACATACCTGACCACGTTCTGGCCGAACTCGCTCATCAGCAGCCGGTTCTGGTACGTCTCCTTCGGGTCGTTGCTGCTGCTGTCCACCGTCGTGTGGTAGATATGCTCCACCGCGTCCTCGCCTGCCTCGAGACCCAGCACTAGGATATCCGAGTCCTGAGGGGGGGGGGCTGCTCCAGCAGATCGCTGAGGATCTTGGCCAGCAGGGTCCCGTAGTTCTCGGCGAAGCTCGTGCGGTGCAGGTTGGTACTTGGAATTTTGCCCTCCAGGTGGACATGCTCGTGCTGCTTGTCGCACTGGTACTCGAAGAGTCCTTCTGCCAGTCCTCGTCGTGTTGTGCGAACTCCAGTCCTTTTGCGAGCCAAGCCCTCTCCTGGAATTTCCAATCCTGTCATACACTGGTCGAAAAGCACATGGTGTCCAGTCAACTCGTATAGCGCCTTCGTCCTCCAGCTTCGTGCCGTAGAGGGTTGCTCCAAGTGTGCGTCTCGTCCAGCCTGCCACTGCTTGAGGTAGATCTTGCTGCAGAACATCAGGTGCGTCTGATGGTTGTCCGAGCGCCGCTGCCGCAACTTCTGATTGTCCTCGTCCGTCTTGCAACCTCGCTCCTGCATCAGCGTCCAGAGCTTGCACTCGGGACTCATCCAGATGTCGTCCGGCTGCTCCTCGTCGACCAGGTCGAGAAATTTCTTCTGCGTAGCGATCTTACTGAAATCCCAGCCGTTGTGCATCCCGAACGTCCTGGCCTGATGTCCGCGTCTCTTCAACTCCTTTGTCAACTCCGAAGTGCCACCGTAGACCTCCCATATCTTGCGCTTGGCCTTCTGGATGTCCTTCGCCCTGCTCAGGTCCTGCTTCAACTCCTTGACGGCCGTGTCTACGGACTCCTGGCACTTGCGCAACTGCTTCAGGTTGAGGTCTTTGGTGATGTAGTTGTTGTCCTCTGCCGCGTCGACCTTGTTGTCTACCTCGACCATCGTGCCGATGAAGTCCACGGACTCCTCGTACGCCAGCACCTCGTCTCCAAGAAACGTGTAGGGACTGATCGGATGCTGCACGCGCACGTGGTCCAACATATTGTGAGGCAGTAGGGTCTGGTCGGCGCGATCCTTCATACACGCACTGAAACTCTCCAGCATGTCGATGATGAAGTGGCCGCGACTGGGCTGCTGGCGTAGCTGAAACCACTTGCCATCACCGTCCCAGCATGCCCTCTTATTCTTGAAATCCACGACCATCCCGAGCTCCTCCATCACTGGCCTGGCAAACAGAAATGGCGTGTGGCCAGGAATCACATACGTGAGAATCTCCACAAACTTGCCTCCAGGGAAAGACGGGACAACTGCACACGCCGTCGCCTCACCGGTCGAATCGCTGCCGTATCTGAAGTTCTTGGAACACGGGAAAAACTTCATCT